TAAGTTAGACAGCATCGATGGTCTATTAGGCTCTTACTACTTTCGTCATGAAAGTTTTGCTGAGATTTTTTAAACAAATGTTATCATGAAAATGTGAATTTTTTTAATAATGCTGCGGTGACAATATAGAGGCGTTAAGCGGCCCCTTGATGGCGCGGAGCGTCTTCAGGGGGTTGGGCCGCTTAGCCTCCTAGTATACAAATATTTTACTGATGGTAGTCGCCCTTGTATAAAATAATCATATGGCGATACTCGCTTTATACATGGTTGGCGGTACAAGCTCATTTACATGAGCAATACTTGCCCTCATGAAAACACAAATCTGGTGCTTTTTGCCTGAATAGAAACACATATCTCGCGTTAATCGCCTGAATAAAAACACGTGTCTGGTTTCAATCCCTGAATAAAAACACGAATCTAGTGGTATTTGCCGTAATGAAAACACGTATTTGGCGTTAATCGCCTTGATAAAAACACGAATTTGGCTTTAGTCGCCTTTCACACCCACAACATCCTTCATTACATACTTATTTCTATATTTTGAATTCATATTAGTGACAATCAAGCATATTTCTGAAGGCAATGATAATAACAGCATTACTTTAGCCCCACAGAAGAAGCTTAATATAATTACATTCTTAAAATGCCTAAACTGTGTTGATTAATTATTTCATCACAGGGTATTCCAACTAACTTATCAGCTTAAAAAAAAAAAAAAAAAAAAAATTCACTTTGGGCCAGGAAAATATTACTTCAATTTCCTGTACACAAAATCATCCTTTAATTTCTTTTTAACTCCTCTACCTGCATTTCTAAGATTTAGTACCTGATTAATTACGTAAGGTCTTTGGCTTCTTTTTTGATTTATACTTAGGAGCGTCTCATAAGGATTTGTGTTAAACCCAAGAAAGTCACAGTCAGTGGTAGATGGTACTGTGATATCACTGTCACTATCGCTGCAACTGTAAGGCACTGTAAAATAGCGCAAGAGATTCAATTTCCCCAGTTATACTAGCCTTTGCTTGCTGGTTTGTTTCATCTATGTGTTGTACCAGAGCTTCATTATATTCCAGCGAGTCTGGCAATCGATTGGAGCCCTTGAGCTTGTTCAGTAATTCGTAATTCTTGCATTTTTGGAAACTAGAGAGTGCACATAGTTCACAGGAATTTTCCCCGATTTTTTTTAACAATATTAACCCACGAAATACGAGTTCAAAACTCCGTATTTTGAGCTCCCATCTAAACGCGCGCTGCTTGGGCCATGTCAAAATGGCGCCCATTCTATCCGTCCGGCGATGGCCACACTTTTGACCTAGCGTGCCGGCGCCACAGAATATATAGGCTTTATTCTGTGCCGGCGAGGTATCTCTGCATGCCTCTGCCGCGTGTGGGTCGTGAAGATTGATTACACGAAGGATCCAAACAACTCGAAATCCCTGGAGAAACAGTGAAAGGCAACAGGGAAGGGCATTTGAAACGATCGATAGAAGGATTTTAGTGAAGAAACTGGAAAAGATAGGAATTGGGGGCAGGGCATTATCATGGGTGAAGGATTATCTGCAGGAAAGAAAGCAGGCAGTTAATTGGGGGGAAAGACTCTCCGATGAATTATGTGTTGAACTGGGGGTGCCTCAGGGTAGTAGACTTGGACCAGTCCTATTCTTAATTTATGTAAACGATCTAAAGGGTGTATTGATGGATTGCAAATTGAGAATATTTGCGGATGATAAATTGATACACATGGAGGGGGAGACACGCAGGGGGGGGGGGGGGGGTATTACAGGAAAAATCCCTGCTGACCCAAATTGTGCCAAAAAACGGTCGTTTTTGGCGTCGCTCTTTACTTGAGGATGCCTGTTAGTATGTTGTGTTTCCTGCAGCAATACTGCAATAAGGCTCACCATATTTCATGGAATGAAGTGATCAAAACTACTTACGTACCTACAGCCTGGTCGGTTTCATGTCTTTCTAGAGTGAAGGAAATATTTTTATTTCTCTCTTTTTAAGAATTCAGGGTGAGTCAAACCTGTCTAACTAAAATTTTAATAAAATCCCTTTGTTCAAAACCACCTAAGAATCATTTCAATGGTAAAGTTGCCGACGATTCTTGTTGAAAGTCCCTAAGTCAGCTGGTTCACTGAATTTCTCAGGTACCTACAGACGGATGGAAGAATTTTGAAAAGACATGGAATTACATCCTTCTATAAGAATAAGTCAGGAACACGGTTAAGGTTATCTGGGGATGACATTTGTAACATTTCGTTGCATGATTTTATAATCGAAGAGAAACAGAAAGTCTGAAACTCTGTAAATCTACGTAAGTGGTTTTCTAGTTAGGCCATGACATTGATATGCTCGTTTTGTTATCAATTATTCTCCACAAAGGTAAGCATACTTACAAAAACTGTTCCAAAACAATTGCGAATGTAACCTTGTGATATCTAAGTAACTTTACATAACTTACCTGTTAAACTACCAGCGGCCCGATTATTATTGAAACTGTGACAGCCCGACATGAAAAGCCATAGCCCTATCTTGACCATGCAATATATTGGAATTTCATGTCTTGTCGGGTTGCTTTAAATTTTCAGTAATCGGCCTGCTGATGAGTTGCAAAATATTTCCACTTCCAGGCGAATGGTCATGTCTTCGTTGATGCTTTCGAAATTGAGTTGTGATGTCGCTTCAGCCGCAGCACACACCAGAAAATTCCTTCTTCGATCGGACCTTTGATGATTCACTCTCGGAATAGCTTTGAACTGATTAATGATAAATGACACCATATGAGTGTCATTTATTGATGAATCAGAGATCAAAGTATATATTTGAAGCTGCTAGAGCAGTAATTTTATCAGACAAGAGTGACCGTCTAAATGCAAAACCCATGTAAGACAGATCTCAGAAACTTTGCACCACCGCAAGGAGATATTAACTGACTATCTATACACCAAATTATTTACGCAACTAGGTGAATTTCTTTGGTAAATTACTTCGCTTAAGAGAAAGTGCTGACTGTAGAAAAAAAGAAATAATACCCTTACCGATAGCGTAACTGTGTATATGCACTAGAGTGGTCACTTACAAAGAACAGACACGAACAAACACTTATGACAAACATTGAACAAGAGAGCAGAACTGGATTAAGTAACTGTAGTCTCTAATTTAGTTCTAAACTGCGAATTTGAAAAACCATAAGATACACCTCAGGTGTGTAATCACTTGGTTCAGGCCTGAGAAACCTCAAACTACATGAGATCATATCAGTGAGGTTTGAGAGGTCAAAAGGCTGTAATACTAAATAAATAGTGAACTTCTAACTCCTGAACGAATTCAGGACCACATACTTAAGACAAAGAAACTGCAAAACATTTGATTTAAAGCGAAAATGAAAAGAGAATGGTCAAAAAAAAGAATGTCTGGGTTTGGACAATGAACTTGTGAAACTGATTTTCCGAATGCACTTTAAAATGAGCCGATAGGCCGTGGTTGCAGGTTGTAAAATACGATGAATATTATTGCCAAATGCTTGGTTGAAGTCGAAAATAGATTTAAATGAATTAAAATTAAGAGATTTCGAGTTGTTTGGATCCTTCGTGTTATCAATCTTCGTTTGTTTATTGTTTACGACCCGCACGCGGCAGAGGCATGCAGAGGTACCTCGCCGGCACGCTAGGTCAAAAGTGTGCCCATCGCCGGACGGATAGAATGGGCGCCATTTTGACATGGCCCAAGCGGCGCGCGTTTAGATGGGAGCTCAAAATACGGAGTTTTGAACTCGTATTTCGTGGGTTAATATTGTTAAAAAAAAATCGGGGAAAATTCCTGTGAACTATGTGCACTCTCTAGTTTCCAAAAATGCAAGAATTACGAATTGCTGAACGAGCTCATTGGAGTACTCACATTCTCCGTATGATGTAAATGAGACGCTGAACCTACTTCTGATGTACCGCCAGCATGTTCTTGATTAGAATCTGTTCATAAATTCATAGTTGAATTAATTTGCTCAATCTCAAACTCCTCTTCAATAATGTCCTGTGGTTCTGCCTTATCAGCAGACTTATCATTCAAGTAATTTAGTTCATCTGTTTGATCATTCTCCAAGGGTCTGTAATTCGTTCGTAGAAATGAGGAATTTCTTCTTAAGGTTTGCCCCAATTCAATGTAAACTCTATAAGATGTAGGAGGATATTCAAGCTTTTTAACAATTTGACTGAGATCCATTCATTATTGTTTAAAACGAACACAGATTCATTAGCGGCAAAGGGCTGGCAACCACACACTATATCTGTTCACTGCAGTATTTCTCAGTGAAAGTGCCCTTGCTTCTCCTTCTGAGAAAAGTGGCCTAGTCCTAATCAACCTATTTTTTGGTATGTTGTAGGTCTGGAGGCACTGATAAAAAGTGTCCATAGGTGCCTCTCCTATTTCGCCATTGTGCCTCCTTTTCTGAGAGTGAGAATTGAGCATTTAGTTTTTAATTGATTCTGATGATACTGCAAGTTGAATTTTTGCCCTTTCAAGGTGTCTAAACTTTTTTTTAGTACATTTGTCTTCGTCTGAATGCAGTGTAAAACATAGAGACCTACAAACTAAACATTTCTGTTGAGAAAAGTGGTGGTGCCATTGAACTCCGATGAGCGAGCCCATGTGAGTCTTATTAAAAGGATGCATTTATCACCTTTTCAGGCCTTTTTTGGTGTATGAGGTTGATCGCAATTTGAAATTTTGACCATGATGGCTCTCAGAATTTGTCAAAAATTGAATAGATTTTTAAGTACCTGTTTATTTTTCATCAATTAATGTGATTTTATTTATTTTAAGCAATTTCAGCGGCCGTGAATACTTATGCAGGTAATTCCTAATTCAAAACTAATTTGAACTTCAGAGAAGACTAAGTTTACTCACCAATAAAACATGCTTTAGTAATGTGTGAGGTGGAAAAGATTAGGAGGAAACTAGTGATAAATAAATTACATATTTTTTAATTGTTTTTCTTCCAGGTAGTTTGGCTGGTGCAATTTATGGAGGAAAGGGTATTGTTCACGCATTTGTGACATCTATGAGTGCTTCTGCTGATGTATTAGCTGTTTCAACCATTGAAGTAAAGTTGAGTGCAATTCCAGAAGGGCAATGTGTTACTTTCAAGTGGAGAGGAAAACCGCTGTTCATTCGCCACAGGTAAATGTCACCTACTGGGCTGATTTTTTTGACCAATTCATAAACCCGAGATTTGTTTTTCTGCATATACCATGAAGTAGGTGTAGTGAAGTCCTATTAGTTGCATTGTGAGAGGCTGATTTCAGCAGGTGGCTTTTGCCAGGTGGTCTTTTTCTTTGTTAAGTGTTTGCCATTTTACGGCAAATTTTGAAAACCTTTGCTGTCTGGTACTTCTGCCGTGCCATTAAGTAAATCCTTGAACGATTCATGTGAAGTTTGAGTCCTTTGTTGATCCTAGGGCTTCTTGCTATCGCCATCCATTTTTTTAGCGAAAATTATATTGATCTAAATGAGGAAAAAACAGATTGGAGTAGGAATTCATTTTTCCTGCATTAGATCTACTCGAAATGGCTGAGTCTTACGCTTCACATCATAAATCAGAATCTGCAGAATATTTAAGAGGGCTAAAATCGGACTGAGGACCTAGAGCGTAGAGTAGAGGTCAGGGGTGTAGGAACTTCCTGATAACAATTCAAAATCAAATTCTAACTAATCGGGCAGACGACGACGCGGATAGCTTACGTTAGTCACTGGTTAATCCTCCGAGCTCTCTGGTCGACAATCCTCCGGAGAGCAGACTGGAGAGTTTAGCAATGCATGTAGTATATCTCATCTCATAGTCATGGCAGGTCTTTCATACAACACACCAGATTCATGTTTAGTGGAAGTTTTATCTTTCAAATTGCCTATTTTTTTCAGTTTTAGGGTGGACAGAGGGGTTCCATAGTTTTTTGGATTATCTTTGAAGATCCTCTGTATGTACGAAGTACTATCATAAAAAAATCGCTAAAGGCCCCATAGCATCAAGTGACGAGACTAAGTGGTCATGCCAAAGAGTTAATCAATTCCTGACTTCCACACAGTTCTAATGTGATTCATGTATATTCTGCTGTATCGACCAAAACTTGATTTTTTACAAAAGTTCCTTTATTTTCTCCTTCTAGAAAAAAACAGGATGGTTTACTTCAGAAAAACCAGGGAATTTAGAATATTGACAGTACTAAAAACTCTTCTCCTATTTTAGTTTTTCCCCTGAGTGTTGTTTTTTTGGTTCTTTGTTTTAGAACCCAAGAAGAAATTTCTCGGGAGCGAGCAGTTCCACTCAGTGACTTACGTGATCCTCAGGAGGATGAAGTTAGAGTCCAGAAACCTGAGTGGCTTGTAGTTCTCGGTGTATGCACCCATTTGGGTTGTGTACCTATTGCCAATGCTGGTATGTGTTTTTTACTGTTTCTTTCACTTGTAGATGGCTAAGAAACAATACCGCCTACCTGTCAACTAACATTTTTACAGGAAAAAGAAGGAACCTCGTCATTTTTGTAATTATCTGGAAAAACTAGAAACATCAGCTTGCACTACTCTGTATGAAGCTGCTGTTCCCACTCACTCACCTCCCCTCCCCCCCCCCCCNCAAGAAAAATTGACTGAAGCAATTATCTTTAAACTTGGTAAACGCTTCGCTATTGTCTTTCTTGAGGACTTGATCTAAACTATTCTGCTTTGAAAATGTTGTCCAGGATGCCCACAAGAGTGAAAAGTTGCTCCTCCCTACATTTATGCATTGGAGATACAAGGTTATTTACGCGCACCGTACTGAACAGGTTGAATCGTTTCGCGTGACGTTACAGCAGCCAGTAACAGCACCAAAATTATAGATGAAATTACAGACTAATTAATTATGACGACAACATGAACAAAGTTACAGACATAGCGATGGACAAAGCCATAGATAAAGCGATGGACAAAGTCATAAATAAACCGACAGACAAGGTTGTACACATAGCTATAGACAGGTAGGCAGGATGATAGACATATTATTGACAAAGGAATCGCTGAAGTGATGGACAAAGTTTAAGACAAAGCTACAGGCAAAGTCACCCACTCCGCCAATCAGCGCAGCTCATTGGCTATAGCTCGCTACAGTCGCGGCTATATCAGCTGCGAGCTCACCACATCGCACTGCACTGAACAGGTTGAATCGTGTCCGGTGACGTTACAGCAGCCGCAGCGGCACCAAAATTACAAACGAAACGATAGACAAAATTATGAACAAAGCTACTGACATAGCGACGAATAAAGTTAAACTCAGCAATGGAAGTCAAAGATAAAGCGATGGACAAAGTCATAAATAAATATAATAGCTTCCCTCGATCACTGCCCTCGATAATATACTTAGCGTGCTTACAGTTCGAGAGACGAGTTTCCCTAAGATTTTTGCGGATGTCCTTTAAACGACAATTTTTGTAAAAAATTTTTTTTAACTATGAGCGCATCATCTAACTAAAACCAAACCAGGGTTAAAATGTGTCCTAAAGCATCCTTAATAACATATCAAAAGCTCGTTTTAGTTAGACGATGCGCTCGGTGTCAAAAAAGCCTCGGAGTGATAGAAAAACACGAATTTTCGCTAAAATACGCTTGCAGACCTATGTTTAGGCAACCGTTTAACACGTATCCAGTGGCTTATGGGCTAAGTCATGATTATTTCCGTAAACTACATTAAGTCAACCGGGAAAACTCACATAAAGTTCCAGATTCTAAGAGGGGGTCAAAAAGGCCCTTATCGATACCCCTCCTTTGGGGTGGGGATACCCCTAAATATCCCTAATTTTAAAATTTTTATAATTGAGCTAAGCTACAGCGCTTGACGGATCTCGCCAAATAGTTTCTCGTAGAGGCAGACGAGCTTTGAGCTTCAAAGCAAGCCACAGTTTCTATCCCAATTGAATGATTTACATAAAAAACGACCTACAGAAGCATAAAAACTTGTGACCTGCGGGCAATCTGGGGGGCGCATGTGACCTTGAGACTCGGAACATACAAGGTTCCTGCGCGCCGCATCAACTTTGAAGACTCATAACTCTGCTTCTAATAGTTTCCCCACACTTAACTTGGGTTTTTTTTAAAACCTTAAACCCTCTACTTTTATTTAGGATGGTTTTTGTTTTGCTCCGTGTGAACAGAACGAACGAAAATCTCGAAAAACGAAAATTTACAAAAGGGGGACCTTGTATCATTCCCCCAAAAGTGGGTTAAATTTCAACATTTTATTAATTTCATACTTATATTCTGAAAGTTCTCATTTTTTGGAAACTTTGGCATTAAGATCATCTTTTTACGACAAACCGTTGAGAAGTTATGGTACTTTTAAGTTTCTGACTTTGAACCCCTTCCCCCTTTTCCCTGGGGGTTAGGCAAAATAATATGACCAGTTTTGAGTGTCTGGGCAGGCCCCCTTTAATCCCTGAGAAAATCGTAGGATTCCGTGTTTAGGCTGATTTGGCCGTTTTGTTGTAAAGGTCCTTTGCAGTTTTCAAGAAAAGTATTAAGTTCCTGCCAAAAGTGCAAAGAACTGTTTTGAAAGTATATTTTGCTTTAAAATGAGTGTTCGTTTAACACTCTGCGATGACTCGTTCATTAGTTACAGCAGAAAGAAAAGAGATTAAAATCCCGACAACTTTATGAGAAATCGTGTTTTTTGGCAGCTATCATCATTTTTTTACCAACAGTATTGAGTTTTACCAGGGATAGCTATGAATCTTGTTGAAAGTAAATGAAATGTACATTAAAATGAGTGCTCCCACAATATTGAGCGATGCTCCGTTACTGAGTAACATGAGGTTGAAATGACCCCATGATTTCAGTTATATGCTGTGAATAACCCCTCGTTGGCCGTTCTGTGCATTCTGCTATTCAACAATTGGACGTATTTCTATCAAACAGAACTAAGTGCAGAGGGAAAAATGGGGTGCGCACGTTGGTGCTTGGGTCATAAGTGTTCGGTTTCACATACAAAATAATAATCATAAAGCATAGAGAAAAAAAAGGAGGTGTTTGCATTTCGGGCATCTTGGAATTTTTTTGATGACGTAGGTCGGTACAGCAACTTTTTTCACTGATTTTCTTGAAAATGGTGTAATTTATAGGAAAAAGTCATTCTATAAAAAGTGCTTGAAATTATATCATAAATTAATTTAAGCAAAAAAATGGGACATTATGGTCCGTTTTTCGTACTGCGAATTCCGGATTTCGCTGGCCAGGTTGTACCGACCTACGTCACAGGGTAAACAAACCTCAAGATGCAAACACCTTCTTTTTTTCCTCTATGATCATAAAGAAGCCAATCACAGTGATGAACCCGGGAGCAATGAGCTCCGCATACTCAAGCTCCACCAATGGGACACTGAGAACTCCATTGTCCCCAGCCTCAGAATGACCGCGAAGCAGCGCACCAATCACGAACCTCGCGCGGGCGCGCATTTCAAACTTGGTCTCCACGGCGCCCGCCAAGTTCAAACACGCATTGCGGTGCTCCCGCCAATTTCTCACAAAGCGCCCGCATTGACCAATCACAGCCAAGCTCGCGGCAATGCTCTCTACGCGACCGGTATAAATACTGGGACGCTTCGCTCTTAGAACCTACTTCTGAGTGATGCGTCGTCCGATCAACATCCTGAATCCAGATCCAGCCATGCAGCGAAGCAAGTTAACCAAGACCAAGGAAATGAAGATTCAACCAAGGTCATGTAGCAGCTAACAAGGAATCTCTAACCCAAGTCAAGAATGAAGTTCCCCGAGCAACGTCAAGGAGCAAATTAGCGAGCAAGCTGTATTGCTTATAGCTATTATCATAAAAAATCCCAATTTTTTAGTGTATTTCAGAGTTTTAGGGCCATCCCTCCCCCCCCCCCCCCTTATGGTCCCCATATCGTGTCGACCTTTTAGTATGATGTTAAGGTAGTATAACTAGAGAGATTCCCACCAAAAAAGCTTTTGTTGTAATTTATCTCGGGTTGACCCCCCTTTTTTCGCAATTTTGACCTGACTAGAAAATGAAATCCTACAGTTTTGATCTGAAAAGTGATAATTCGATTTTCTTCATAGTACGACTTTTCTTCTTGGGATATAATTGCATTACCTGCTCAAAAATGAAGACATCGACTTAAAGACTCAATTAACATAAGATATTGGACTGGAGCCACTTTTTTATGAGACTAGGTGTCATTTACGAATTGTTCCCTTCCTATTCTCTATCCCGTCATGGTGCTGAATTGTTCTTGCCTTTTTACTGAGTGTTCACTCGCTTGTATGGGTTGGTAGCCCGTTTGTGTGTGAATATTGAATAAATAAACGAATATCATCTTAGAAAACTTTATAGGGCGACAGTAATATTGGGAGTGTAAAAAAATCTGTTCCCACGTCAGCTCATTCAAGATGTTCTTTCATCCACGTCCACCTACGTAATAACATATTTGCCTTTACTCTGTTTAGGTGATTTTGGAGGTTACTACTGTCCATGCCATGGTTCTCATTATGACGCATCCGGCAGAATCCGCAAAGGCCCAGCTCCATTGAACTTAGAGGTTCCAAAGTACGCTTTCACTGACCCAGACACGGTTCTTGTTGGGTAAAAGATTCACTCCCCAGCTTTCTTCTATTTAAGCAAAGCTCATGTAAATAGGTTCTTTAATGCCCTTGTTATAGTCGTGATCAGTAAGTTCAAAAGTTAATAATAAACTATGTTGTTCAGAAACTACACTCACTTCTCATTTCTGAGTGTTCCTCTGTTTTGGCTAACTCCACTTCCATGTGGTCTGACTTGAGGTTTCCCAAGTATTGTCCCATGAAGTGATTATTCATTGGTGATATGCACATGGCTAGGTCATCATTTGACAGTACTCGCATCCAAATCGTTATTTGTAACCACTGTGCTGACAGCTTTATCGTTACGTGTCAAAACTTAAAGTAACTTCGTTCTGAGGAAGCTGTTTTCAAACTTAGAAATTTTTATGTTCACGGTGGATTCCAGATCCAGATGGACACGCTAATGTGTCTATGGTAATTTTTATTATAATACATAGGAATTCAAACAAATCAGGCAAGCACGGATTGCGTGGCAAAGAAGGCTGCACAGACACTGTTCAACTGCTTGGAAATCCTTTTTGGGTCTACAGTTTTCTAGAGAAGATCGTGCTGAGAATTGCCCTAGCTGATTTGAGAACATAAAATTTAAATATAAGGACTAAACACTGAGAGAGACTAAACCTTCAGCTCCAGATCTGTTCCTTCAATAGACTGAAAGAATAGAGAGAAAAGGCCGATGTGAAAAAAAAAAAAAAAATTCTACCAAAAGTGAAAGTCTATTTCTTCAATTCAACCCCGTAGATTCTAGGTTCATCAGCGAGACAGCAGACAATAAAGCAAAAATGAAAGTTGCCTCCCCATGAATAACAAACTGACACCAATGATTAACAACTTAGCAAATGGTATAAGGCAGTTCAGCAGAAAAAAAAAACTTGCGCTCCAGCTGCCCGTGCATTTTCAACCAATTTTGATTTAGTTGTCAGCATTGGCAAATAACAATTGTACCGCGTTAAACAGAAAGGAACCAAGCCACATCAGCTATTGCCAAATTTAATTGGGCAATTTAATTTTTTACATGAAAACGGTTTTGCGGATTTGCGTGAAAATTCTCCATGGTATGAAGCAAATTCCTTAAAATTTTCAAAGAAATCCGAACAATCGTTCTCTGGTAAAAAATTTAATTGCCCAGTTAAACTTGGCTACAGCTGATGCACATTGGGACGAGCCCATTACAGAAACGGGACATTCACGGTAAAAATGAAAATCATTAAAAGCAAGAACCAAAGGTGTAGAAGTTACCTGGAGGGTCTACACTTCCAGAATAACCAAGATTTTAACGATTTAATTGAGGACTATTCAAATGACAGGCGTAGAGAAAAGCGTGTTTCGGAAAGATGAAAAAAAAGAGGTAAATGCGCACTTATACAAATGTTGCTCCTCTATAGCTTCCGAGATGATTTTAAATGCAATTTTTTGTTATAACAATTGAATACAAACATAGACTATTCGTTTACGTCTTTGGTGATGATTACTTTTTACTTCCTGGGGCTCAGAGAGTGAATTCAAAATCGACAAGTCAACAAACTAAAATTCAAACTTCAATTAGAGTTTTAAAAAAATGTCCAGACTTGTCCAAGAAACGGTTTGCAAATCGAGATTCTACGTATCCTTAGCTTTCAGAATCATATTAGTTTTAATCCGACTTCTTCCGACTTTGGAAGTTACAAGGGAAAACATGAGCGCGGTTCGCTTAAAATCGAGCGCTTTCACAGGCCAATTGACGGTTGAGGTTGAGTGAAACGGGCTGCGTTGCTGGCCGCCGCGCTGCCGCTGCGTTGCTTATCAGCTTGCTGCAATGCTCATCTGATATCTAGGATACTGATTGCTATCGTCTTTTTTTGTAGACCGATTTTTTATTTTGAATTTGCAAAGAATCGGATGATGTCGTGATGGAAACGGTGCTTAGAATCGAGGCTGAAATTAAAAATTTAATTTCAACCAAAGTAGACAGTTTGACAGTATGTCCCATGATTTGTATTCCACCATGTTCGATGGGAAAATTTGCAATGTAGTAAGTGACAATAAATCCTCATTCTCATGAACAATATCTCAGAAGTACAGAAAAGACCCCTGAGAAACTCGGAGTTTCTAAAGTATGGAATTTTGCCTTGGCATCTCAAAATTAGAACTTTTGAGTGTCTGTTGCATATTTCTTATAATCAGGATTTGAGAAAATGGCACTCCAAAACAGAAGAAGAAAAGTCCTTGAAAAAAAACCGGACAAAAACAGCATCTGTGTCAAAGAATGATAATATTTGCGAGCAACTCATTCGTTTATGATACTCGGATTAACTTTAATATCTGCCCATTGGTGAACTCATACCCCTATAGTCAAATATCGCTGCGGTTTTTGCGATATCTAGGTAAGAAGATAGTGGGGGTGGTGTTTATTCTTAATAAAAGGATTTCTCAATTTCAGGATAAGTGAATTCGTTTTCTTTTTCAATGAAAAAAAGCAAATGACACGCACGTTAAATCTCTACCATAATCACGCGAATCTGTTTATCAAATAGATTAAAGCATAGACTTGGCAACACCATATTTTGGCGGGATTGTCACTTTGAACCAAATACTGAGCATAATATTGGATTCCTTTTCCCAAAAAGACCGAAAATGTCAAGTTTTGAGAAGATCGGCGAAAAATTATCGTCTAATGTGCGAATGTCCCGTTTTGACACCATTTCGTCCCACTGTGTGATGTGGCTTGGTCCCTCTCTGTTAAACTCGGTTCAATTATTACGTGACGCACTTTTACAGATTTTGTCACACTCCCCCCTCCCCCTCCCCTTGTAATGCAGCCCTACCCTACACCCCCCTCCCCCTGGTCAAAGTACGTAATGCTGCACAGAGTGTTAAAATCCCCCTAATATCAAGACAACAAATGGTATTCCTTATGGTCAGAACGGGTTCACAGGTGCCCACACTGGTTACATATCTATCATGGTTATCACCAAAACCATATTTTGGTCGCTAAAATGATGAGGATTGCAGCCGGTGAACATCCCACTTAAATCTCGCCATCAGGAGAGGTGCCAGTGTATTGCTTTTTTTAGAGTATTTCGTGGTGAAAAAGTGTCATTTCGGGATGGAACGAGATTTCAAAGGCCAGAGAAAGTAAGCATGACAGTTGATGTGACCAAAAAAATTATTTAAGTATTATAATTACTCATTGAAAACAAGTGCAGAAGACCGTTTTATTTTCCTGACAGTAGTAAAGCCGCAATAGTGTGGAACAGTATGAAACTTATATGAGTGTGTTCAGAAAACTATCAAGATGCGATATATCTCTAGTTTTGCCGCGTTTGTTCGTAACCTTGAGAATGAGAGCACATTTTGTGCTCATCCTCGAGATGTGTCAAAGTCAAGACGTGTCGTTAAATCACTCCCGAACTATCATAATTTTAGCGATGTTAAATACGAGCTGAAAATGTTTGAATAAGATACATGTGTGAAATCCTTTTTCCAGTCCTTTCTGTGCAATAATGTCAATGTGTGCCTAGAAATTTGGACATTTCTAGCTAAACTTGCACTTGTGGAAAAGAATGTCAAGAATTTCACAGCCACACTAATAGGAAGATCACACGCGTGCTTTGATATGGCGGTTTATCATTAATCGCGCGAGGCCATGACGCGAAAGAGGGTTATTCAAAATCGGCGATTTTACCCTACGCTTGGATTTTGCCCGGAGTTGGATATGTTGTTCCCTATCACAAGACACGCCTTTTTCCGGCATTGGCAAGTTCACCCGAAATTTTTCCCGCGCGCTACAGCGTTGCCAAGTTGAAAACAGGCAAATTCCGTAAGTGG